TTTTTATTTATTTAATTATTTATTTAATAATATGTATTATGCCTTATATTTAGTAAATATACACATTTTACTCAATTAAACATTGTAGTTTATTGATAATTTAATATATTAAAATAAATAATACTATCAATAATATCTGAAATTTATGTTTTAAATTTTATGACTGCACAATATCAGATTAATTCACTAAATTTTATAAAACAACCTAAATAATTGTTTTGATACATGATAATTTAAATTTACTTAAATGGATTATATCTTGATAACATAAATATTTAGATGAACAGATTAGATTAAATTATTACTTTAAAAAATAAATAACTTTTTGTATGGCAAACACTGATCATTCAAAATATTTAAACAATAATAATCACAATATTATTAATATATTATTAATATCTTTATGAATTGCTAGATGCAAATTTATTTATTTATTTATTACTGTACAGTGCTACTTTTTATTTAAAAAATATTATCATTGCATAGATTACTTTTGTCAATTAACTATTTGTGACATTATAACAAAATAATATGTAATTAATTAATTTCACTTTTATAAAATATTTCTACCAGGCAATTTATCAACTAATGACCTAATTATGTCTAGGACTAACAATTGTAAGTATGATTTTATTTTGACCCATATTTACTTAATATTGTTAATGTTGGGAAAGGGTTCATGCCAAATATCATATAAATACAGGGTAAATTACACAAAAGTTTAAGTTTATATTTTTATTTCACAATGAAACTTTTAATGGTAATCGTGGTGTCGGTGCTGATCGCCAGTTGCTCTGCCCAGTCAGCTCCCAGAGTGAATCTTGGAGGTAAATCTGTGCCGGATGGATTAGTCGAGCAACTAATTACTGATGATATACCTAATGATGTTAATGGCGTGCTCAACACTTTAGAAAATATACTAACTGGCTAAATTACTGTATTATCTTATGTACTAGTAGTCCATTCAAACACTAGCACATTAACCACGTACAGATTAGTGCGAAATTTTTTACTAAAACTAATTTTATTTACTATACAGTTTAATTGAAAATTATTTACTATTGTATTTAAAATTGTAATACTTTTTATTATAACATTTTCTTATAATTATCATGTCAAAGTTTTATGTTAAAATTTTCACTTATAATAAAGCGTTTAATATTGATAATAAAACTTAAATTTTATTGTTTTCATTTATAAAATAACTTAATTTGTACATGTATGTTTATATTTAGCATGAAATGATAAATTGTTTGTATACATAGCTTTTAAAAAGTTACTTACTGTATATTAATTTTTTGTTTTTATTAGGTTGTTATTGTATTTGTTCAAGTAACATACAGATATAGGTATTTTAAGTAAATTAAACTTATTATTAGTACACACACTTACTTGCTAAATTTTGTTATTGGAGAATCTAAATTAGATTTAAATCTAAATTTAAATCTAAATGTTAGCCCGTATGAGTGTACTATACTCGGTTAATTCATGTTATAAAAATTACTTAAATAATTGTCTTGATAAATGAAAATTTAAGTTTATATTCATGGGGCATATTTTGAGATTTTTAATGATTTACAATTCTTTATTTAATATTATTATTATGTTTAACTAGAATAATTTAAATGTAAATTAATTTAAATAGCTTAATTATCTTATATAAAACAAAATTATTATTATATAGATTACAAAAATAATTACTTGTCAATTCACTATTTTTAGATCATAATAGATAATACATAATTAATTAATTTCATTTGTGTAAAAAAGTATATAATTTTTATACAAGCTAATTTATCAGCTAATGCTCCAATTATGTTTCGAACCAAGTGTCAATTTACCTCGACACATATTTATGCAATATTATTAATATTGGAAAGGGCTCATAAAATACATAATTTATAACAAAAAAATCGTATAGATACCGGGTAAACAAGCTACATTTAGTTTATCACAAACGAGTTGAACCTGTAATTTATATTTTTAGTCCTGAATCGGGAAAACGCGTTCAAACCTGCCGTTTGCTAAACACAATGAGACTCATAATGGTAATCGTGGTGTCGATGCTAATCATCGGGTGCTCGGCCCAGTTAGGTAACGTTGTGGGTGGGCTTGTTGGCGGAGTGGACAAGGATGTTAGGTCATTAGGCCAGGCTGTTCAAACATTTGAAAATGATGCTGGTGGTTTGCTTAATGATCTTGATGCTAAGATACTAAAACGCGATTCCGAGCACGTGTACTAGAGCAAGTTTGCTGGTTGAAATAATTTTGTCAACTAATTATGAGGGATAATTTTGTTTTTGTATTAACTAATAGTTTTGTTGTAACCATTTTAGTTAACATGGCAAAATTAAATAAATTGTCAATTTAAAATAAAGTTTTTAATGAAACTTAAAATGTTTTATTTTCTATTCTTAACTAACTTAATTTGTACTTGCGCATTTGTATTTAACACAATGTTATATATATAAAGTTTGTTAGTAAAGGTATATACATAATTTATTTATCATTGGTGTTTATATAAAATTGTTCAAGTAATTAATATATAGTATATTTTACTAACATATTATTAATAAATTAAACTTAATTGTAAGTACTAAAGTAGAAATATTTAAAATTAAATTATTTTTTGTAAGTTCAAACCTTGTTACTAGGTCACATTACTTTGTTAATTTATCAATATAATGTTATGTACTAATAATTATTTATGAGACAATTTATCTGTTAAAAATAATTTCATTTTTTGGGTCAATTATACCAATTAATAATTTTTAAAACAAAAATACAACATGATTAATGAACAAGTTATATTTTATTTATTGCATAATTCAACATCATACTTGCTTTAAGTTTTATATACCAATGTCATTAGTGTATTATCAAACTAGGTAAAAATAAATTATAAATTTATTAGGTTCCTGAGAAAATTTTAATTTTTTAAAGTTTAATTTAATTTAAGTCTATAATACGGTAAATTGTATATAAATTATTATTTACTAGATTAGTTTTGTACCTGATAAATTAATCAACTAATGTCCTATTTATGTCTACGATCTAGATCCATTTACTTCGACACAAGTGCCACGATATATCGGGGTCAGAATCGCAAAATAATTAATTAATTATCTCACCCAAAAAAATCAACAAAAACACCGCGAATTAGCGTGCTACATTTAGTTTATCCTAAAAAGTGATCATAGTTTAAAATTTTCATATTGAAAAGTTTCATATAATGAGAGTATTATTATTATTGGCAATTAGTAAATATACTATCTGGCTAATTTATTTGATTAAACATACTGTACATTCAGCGTTGAAATACAGTATATTTCATATTTACTAAAGCCACAATGTTTAAAATTTTAATATAATACTGTATAAGCTGGACTAATTGACAATGTGTGTTAAAATAATTGTTAAAATAAAATGATCTATTAATAAAAATTTAAATTTGAGTTACTTTAATCATGTTTAAATAATATTAAAATGTTTAAAAGTTTTTTAAAATGTAATCATATATGTTTAAACATTTAAATATATTAATTTTTTAATTGAATGTTTATTTACTTTTTATATGTTGTTTTTGAAGTTTGAATTAAATACAATTCAATCATTGTAAAATAATTTATAATACAATTTTTTAAGTGTCATAAACTTTTAATTATTGTTTACAGTAAAAATATATTAATTATTAAATTCTCTCTCTCTCTCTCTCTCTCACACACACACACACACAACAGATACACAATACTAATGAAATAAAATTTATTATATTTAATAATTATAACATCACCTATTTATTTAATAAATAATTTTCCATTTATTTTTATGATCAATCTCAATTTACTATTGTGCTATTCTGCGCGATAAATTCAATGTTGATTATAAATTATTACAAATAAAATCGCGGTTTGCGTTCAGGACTTGCAAAACGGGTTAACATATTGTATGCGATAATACCATGCAATGAGACTGTTATTGGCGATCGTGGTGTCGGTGCTGATCGTCGGGTGCTCTACTAGACCTCGAAATGGTGATACTGTTGATGATGGTATCGATGTTGATATACCCCTACCTGAATCAAGTCTTAAACTTGATCAACCATTAACTGCTGGTGTTAAGAGGTTAGGTAGTATATTATCTGGCTAAATTTATTTGTCTACGCAAACTTTACATAGCTGTTTAAACATGTTTAGTGAAATAAGCTTGACTAATTAATTGGGTAGACAGTGTATTAATGAATGTTAAAATGAAATGTTTAAATATAATTTTAAAAAGTTTTTTAATGTAGTCAAGTATATGTTTAAGCATTGAATGTAAATAAATTAGTTTTTTAAATATTAAGTTAAATAAAAATTCTAATTTCAAATATAAAATAATTTACAATTACTGTATTTTAAATTAATTTTGATCTCTCTCTCTCTCTCTCTCTCTCTCTCTCTCTCTCTCTAACACACTTACTACTTATTACTGAAGTAAAAGTAATTATATTTAATAATTAAAACATAAAAAATTCCAGAAATATTCAAAAAGTAAAAATCTATACATTTTAGAAAATGTGTTAATAATTTATTACCACTAAATCTATAAACAATACGGTATTACCTAGTAACTAAATGTAGTTATTTATCAAATACTTTGGTATTTATTGCATTTTCATGTTTAGTCACAATTTGCCGCTACAGTATACCAATGTGTGCTAGGGTACATTATAAAATAAATATTTAGATCAAAATACACAATTAATTAATGCAAACAATATATCACACAAAAAAATCCTAAACTGATCGTGATAAATTCAGTGTTTATCACAAATAATGTTTTCAGTTTATTTTCAGGGTTTAATCAGAAAACGCTTTAACATATTGTTTGTAATAATACAATGTGACTGTTGTGGGTAATCGTGGTGTCGGTGCTAATCATTGGGTCCTCGGCCCAGTCAGATAATGGGGTGCTTAATAAAGGTAAAATTGTTTTATTATTAAGCCTTATAAACTACGTAATATGGTAATATTATTTTTAATTTTAATCAATTAAGTTTAACCAGCAATTTTATATAAATTAATCATTTTAGTAGTAAAAGTAGAATTTTTGTAACACCCTGTTTTTAATTGTGCAATTAGTTATTAACTGAAATTATAATGTAATTTTCTACAATCTTAAACTATAATATTTTTCAAAATTTATTTTTTAATAGCATGATAGAATATGCTAATACAATAGTTGTTAAAATAAATAAAAAATAATTATATAAAAATAGTTTATATTTATACATTTTAAAGTAATTTAACTACAAATAAATATGATTTAAAGTTTTAGGACTCACACACTCTATAATATTAACAATATTCATAATATGTAATTAATGATTTATTATGCCCTTAGTCACATGAAAATAATGCACTGAAAATTCCCCTAAATGTATAGACAACTAATCGTATTGAAAAAAATTCAGCAAAACATTTACTCCATAACTAAATGGCAAAAACACTTTTATTATATTAATTCAGTTGTCAATCATATTTGTGGTTATTATTGAAGTATAATTGACTTTTTGTATGTAATTATAATTCAATTACATTTTCAATCAGAAATTTTCTAATGATTATAACGAGAGAGAGAGAGAGAGAGAGAGAGCTATCTTATTGTGAAATATATTTGAATTAAATGTAAATAAAAAAAGGGGCTGGCAGTCTATTGGGGCAATAGTAGTGTATACTTGACAGTGAAAGTGAACAGGATATTCACTACATACCTACATATTAAATGTAATTTTATACAGTATTTTTTATAATCTAGGTGTATTATAATTACAATATAATGGATTTTTGACAGTGTATTGATGAATACAAAATACAGTCAAACCCCGATATTTATTTTATATATCTATATATTACGAAAGTATGCATAAAATTTATTTACTTGTTTATAAATAATAAACTAATCAATAAGATTAATTTGTTTACTAAGCATTCACGTAATTAAATTTAAATTATGCAAGGTTACCGTGTTATAGTGGTTATTTTTGGTCATAAATAATTTATATATAGATTTAATAATTAATATATACTGGAATTTGATTGTAATTACACAATAGTTACTAAACTTAGCAAACAAAAAATTCATATATAAAATAAATGATGAGTTATTTTTCCACTCAATAATACAGTGGACTTCATATAAGTGTTGAAAAAAGTTTACATTTTTTTGATTAACACAAACTGTACAGAAAAATACTTGCAATTTATTTTTCAGTTTTATTAAAAATGATTATAAAAATTAGCTTGCTAATTGTATTGTTAGTGGTATGTGCGGCACAGGTAGCCAATGGACAGGACTGTACCCCGAAAGGTATGCGCCGGTTTGATAGCCAGGTCAGTCGGCTCATGACGATTGCCAACTCCGGGCGTAAATTCCCCGAAAATAAGGGGAAGGATTTGAAGACTTGGTGCGAGTAAGTAGCCTGGTTATATTTTTTGTTTGTATTTTTAAAACATTTTAAATAAAGACGGGATCAAGGACGCCAATTTAAAATTATTATAAAACGTAAAATTATAAACATTACAATTTATCAACAATTACAGTTTACATAATTTGTTTTATAAACTATACATTAGTTAATAAAAATCAAGGTTCTAATAAAAAGTATCCATGCAGCTTCTTCCAATTAATTAATTAATTAATTAATGTGCTAGTATATATGTTTTTATAAGAAATATTTTACAGTTTTATCAATAATTAAAAAATGAAACTTAAAATTACTAGTGGCAATTAAGAATTATACAATATAACAATTAAATTTATGTATTAAATTGGCTAATCAAACAAAAATTAATATTATAAAAATTATATAAAATATAAATTTTTATTAGTATTACAACGAATTGAATCTATTTTCTGAATACAGAATATAATAAAATTGGTTTGATCGGATAGCCAAAATAAAATTATTTTTAAATCAGTAAAGTATAAACATTAATATTTATCAAAAATTACAGTTTTCAGATTACTATATATTAATACAATTCATAAAATTAATTATAATCAAAATAAAAATTAAAATATTAACGTTCTGAGTATGAACTCCATTAGTTATTAATATTATCATTTGCTAGTATGCACGCTTGTATCATAATAAAGTTTACAGTTTTAATAAATTTTAGAACATAACGTAAAAATTAAAACTTTAATTTATTTTAATATCTAAATACAAATACAAATAAAATTTTATGAATATTACAGCGAATCGGATACCATTGTGAAGGAGTTGGAGACCTATAAGCAGAAGTGCTTCAAAAACCTGTCGAAACAAGTGTTCGGTGTTTTAATTTACTCCATAAAGAATACGATGAAACAGTACTGTCGGAAGGACTCCAAAAAGCTGGACGTCCTACTCGAGGCCGTGCCCTGTCTTAACAAAAACGATAATGAAGTGACCAAATGCTACACACAGTTTGTGGACGGGGTGTTAGGCGCCAAGAATGCCAATGATACGAAAAAGATACCTCATTTGTGCTGGTACAGTTTATTTTATAGTAATTAAATTATGTATTAATTATCTAGCGAATGTTTAAAATTGTGTGTAGGTAAGTAATGTTAAATTAAAATCCGTTGATTATTTTAAACGCAAAGTTAGTATATTGTACTAGAATATTTTTAAAATTTAACATACTACCCAGGTACTTGTTTACAGAATATCAACACAATAAAAATAATTTAATAATGGTTTAAAAATTTCTAGTTAATATCACAACCTTAGGAAACCATAAAACTTGACTAAATTATATTAATCTAGTTTAACAAATAAATTTACAGTTTATTTAATATCCTACGAAACCATTTATTATCACTTAAATAAATTAAGCTCCTAATTAATAAAAACAAAGATTATTTTCAAGCACATTTAAACTATATATATAGAGTATAGATATAAATGACCTATCATACATACAGTGAGTACGCAAACATATTCGGGTGCTTTGAGAAGAAGCTACAAAACGCCAAATACTGTAACGACAAAAACATTGAGACTGCGAGCGATTTAATCCGCAGTGTTATCGGCAATGTTGTTGACTTGATTTGCGGCGATTATGTCGAGGGCTCCGATAAGTGCGTCAAATTAGGTGAGCATGCTCATATTAGTTTTTCAATTACATCATCTAGATCTGACCAGTCGTTATTTTGTTATTACGCTAAATACAGGTCCGCCGCCCAAAAAGCAAAAGAAACAGCGCCGCCTAAAATCGTTTGCCGTACCGGTGCTCGATCTACTGGCCTCGTTTCCGGAAGTGTGAATTGGTTGAGGGTTAATTATATATTGTATATGTAGTGTTAGGTAATTTTACCTTGGTTATCTTAAATACGTGTAATCATTTTTGTATGTTGAATACTCATTTTGGGCACAATAAAAGTTTTTAAAATTGATATTTATTTTATCTAGTATATTTTAAATGTATATATTTAAATAATATGAATTAATATATTATCGCTCTAGTTATCCAATATTTATATTTTATAATTTGGAAAAGTAAATGATCTAGCTTGACGTGTTTATTTACAGTCTAATATGGTTTTGATAAAAACATTAACAAAATAATTTTAATTTTATTTGTAAGATTCTTTATTGATAATTTTTTTTACTGTATGTATCATCAAGTTACATGTTAATATTGGTGTTTTGCAATAATTATTTTGTTTGAAACTACGAAAAATTAATAGCCATGTAAAATTATTAATTATCTGTTCATCAAACAGTGTCTATTTATGTTAGACATTATGTTTGTCTAAATCTTTAAACTTATTATACAATTATAATATTTTGGCACAAAATAAGGGGAACTACTTGTTATCAATAAGAAAGCAATTTCCAGGGACTTTTTAATCAAGGTCACCTGCTACAAGGTTTATGAGTTATTAGACTTTTAAATAAAAAATGTCAAATGTTTATCAATCACTGAGATTTGATTACAATAATTATTATTGCATTCATTAAATCAATGGAAATTTTAAATTATATTGAATAATATTAAAATAAAAGTTAATTTTAATGAAAATATTATATTTGCTACGTTCAATTACTATATAAACAAATTATACTTATTTAAAAATTGTTAATCACATAAAAATAAATATTATATTCAACTAATTTAAAAATACAAGCTTTAAAATTATATATATATTATATATATAGCATTTATTTATTGTGCCTACCCGTGCCGTATATATTTAAAGTATACATAAATTATATATAACTCAAGCGCATATATAGCGCATACAATGGAAACTACTTATATTAAACTTGTATTAAGTTCATGCATAATTTTAATTATTCAAAATGAGCATGGTCATAATGCTCATGGCCAAAAGAATCAATGTTCAGCCAATGGTATGAAACGGTTGGACGAAATAGTGGCAAAGTTCGTGACAATTGGCAACTCTGGCCGAAAGTTCCCGGAGTCTAAGGGACAGGTGTTACAAAAATATTGCGCGTATATATCACTTTGAATATATTTTTAATTTAAATTTAATGACTTTTATATGATTTATTTTATAAGATTTGATTTGATTTATAAAATTACACATTAAAAACTATTATAGTCAAATTTGGTTTTAATTAATAAAAGTAGTTTTAAAGTATTTAAACGTATTTAATATTATAAAATTTATCAATGTTAATAAATTATTATTAATCTCACACTAATTATTTTAACTTGCTACTTTTGAATTATATTAGATTTATTATACGTTGCTAATATTTATTAATTAAAGTAAAATAAATTAACAACAATTAATATGAACTAGTGTAATTATAATCTAAACTATTTAAACTACTTTAATCAATTTAATTTCAACTTTTAATTTAGTGAAGAGAGCAAGCTACTTACTGACATTGAAAAGTACAAGAACAATTGTTTCCGAGATTTGAGCAAGCAAGCGTTTGGCATATTAATCTTTTCATTTAAGGGTGCCATCAAAAATTTTTGCTCCAAAAAGGAGTCCAAACGCCTGGATGAGTTAATAGTGGCCACACCCTGTATTAATAAATACAACACCAATGTTGTTGGCAAATGTTACGAAACTATCCTTGATGAATTATTGGGTGCCAAAAATGGACCCGAAAATAAACGGATACCTTATATGTGTTGGTATGTTTTAGACAAGAACATTTATATTTATATTTATTTAATAAATACAATACATTTAAAATAATTATATGGTAATAAAAAATATGTTTAATTGGAATATGACATAATTATGCTATAGTTTTGCATGATTATATGATAATTTTAAACTGTAATAAAATCCAATATCTAACTTAAATTACATACTTTAAATTATTACACAAACTTACGGAATAGTTTCTTGCTGCCTTTAATATTGCTATTGAACAAGTTTTACTATAATTTTATTTTTTGTAACAATGTGCCTGCTTACTTCTCAAACAGCGATTTTTTAAAATTCATAAAATGTTGCGAGGACGGATTAGCCGGTAAATGCGAGCCCAAACACATTGAGACTACCGTTTGGTTTTTCAAATTGTTGTTCGGCGACGCTATTAACCTATTGTGCACTGACTATACCGAGGAGTCCGATAAGTGCAGTAAACTAGGTAATTATTTAAATCTCAACGCGCATAAACCGATATGTATGTTTCAATGCAAACTGTAAAATTTACATAATCATTATATTAAATATTACATACTGTAATACCAATACAATGATTATGTAATCTATGTATTTTGTAATAACATTTCTATAGGTTATTTATGATTTGCTCCTAATTGTTATTTAATTTGTTTTATTTACTTGATCTGCCTCAATTTAGGAGTGACACCGAAACGATTAAAATCGCAGAGACGTACTAGATCATTCGCGTTGCCAGTGTTGTCGGTATTGGAATCGTTTAAAGAGATTTGAGCTAGCTAATTGATTCTAAAAATTAAATCTAAAAGTTATATCTTATTTTTGAATAATGCCAATTAGTTTATTAATAAAATTATAAAGTTGAGTTTGTTATTTTAATGATTTCATAGCAATACAATAGTAAATTTATTTAAAAAATATTCCGATGTTTTAAAAATATCTAGATAATTAAATAGGCCGTTGGTTATAAACATAATAGTGGTTTTAAAAAATTGTTTGTCAAAAACTTAACCTTCCTTTAATAAATATATTAACTAACATAATAAATTAAATAGTTTTACAAAGTAATTATGCCAATTTTATTATGGAAATTACTATTTCAAAAAAAGCATTTTAATTTTGTTTTATCATATTAACATATTAATAATATACTATATGTTTGAAAAATAAAAGCAAATTTTTGTTAAATACAGTTAGTCTCAAAATAGAGCAGCCTGGTTTTTGTAAGAAAAACACATGAAGACAATTTTTGATTTAATTCATATTTATATAAGAAATCCGGAATTTTTCTTTTTAGCTTTAAACCTACAGTTAGTCTCAAAATAGAGCAGCCTGGTTTTTGTAAGAAAAACACATGAAGACAATTTTTGATTTAATTCATATTTATATAAGAAATCCGGAATTTTGTGATAAATCGTATGAATTGACAATTATTTGGTTGTGACCTCGGTGTCAAAGGTTATTTTCAAATAATTTGTAAATTCATAAATGTTTTGACGTGTTTCGGGAATTTGCAAGATAATTCATGTATAACTAGATTTTTAAAGACAAATGTCTTAATAACCGTTGAAAAAAATATATTTTCGTATTGCTTTAAAAGGGAAATTTTGAATACAAACTGTAATTTTATATTTTAATTAATGTGCAATACATCAATGAAATTATTTCATTTTTATTGCTTTAATAACTAATTTAAAATATTAAGTGTTTAATATTTTAATACTAAGTTCATGTGTATACAATAGATTTATTCAGATATTTTAATTTACAGTTATTTGAGCAATAAAAATGAAATAATTTCAATGATGTGTTGCACATTGATTAAAATATAAAATTACAGTTTATATTCAAAATTTCCCTTTTAAAGCCATACGAAAATATATATTTTTTAACGGTTATTAAGACATTTGTCTTTAAAAATCTAGTTATACATGAATTATCTTGCAAATTCCCGAAACACGTCAA